CATATTTAAATTTGAAAAATGTTTAATCCATTCATCTTCACTGATACTTTCACTAATATCATTGTTAGATAGTAATGAATTAGTATTTTTTAATTCTTTAATAATGTTCCAAAATTTGTTGGATTATTTCTTTCACTTCCATTTATATCATTTAATAGAGTGTCTCTTGATGCACTGTTTTTTTCAGTCTAATTAGTTTTTTGTATCCCTTTTTCAGTTGAAAAAATCTAAACCTTATGTACGGTTCTCTGGGATGTTTTACTAATAATTTACCCATGCCAGTTAACTCTCGTTTAAGTATGTAACATGGCTTATCATACCATTTGTTTGTTTCTTTTTATTATTATTTTTATTTTTTGGTTTACGAGCCTGGGTTTTAAGCGACATGTCTGCTGCAGTATATAAAATATTATTTAATGCCTGGATAGCATCATTAATATTACTTTTTGTATAATCCATATGTAAATAAGATGTAATTTTGGATCTGACTGCTGCATTATTCATTGCTGTCTTGTAATTATCAATTGAGGATGATTCCCAAATATAATTTATAGGTAATGGTTTTAAGCCCATGTTGTTATTGACATTTCTCAACTGATCTTGTATTTTCAGTGTGAATGACAATGGGCGGTGATCAGATAAATGTGATACAGGGTGTACTTTCATGAATTGAATTTTTGAAAAAAGGCTTGTTTGAGCAATGATGTAATCTACCAAACTGGAGCCATTATATGCATGGCAAGTAAAATTGCCGTATAAATCCCCTATTTTTCGCCCATTAACAATTTTCAAGTCTGTTGACAGACAAAGATCGATTAGTTTTTCCCCATATGAATTTACATGCATGCACCATCACATGAAACATTTTATGAATTTTACGCTTATTTTTTAGCCCCCGCCGATCTGCGATCCGGGCGGGGGGTATTAATTTGGGTTGTGTCTGTGCAATGTGCGTGCACATTTTCATGTTACCAGCTTTTTCTCACACATGTGTGATCCAATTAAGTTCAGTGTTGGTACAGAGACAGAAATTGATGGTGCTGTGGTGCACATCAAGTTATTTTTTCGATTCTTCAAAGTTTCACTGTGTTTTTCCTTGATTTTTAACATTTTCCCTTCAAAAT